CTGACGGTCTCTGCCAGAAGCCGTTCTCGCACCTCCCACGGGTCTTCTGGCTGGTAGACACCTGTTCCGAGTGATCTCCTTCGCCACAGCTTTCCACAATCTAATTCCGTGCCAAAAACGACGCAAATTTCGTCCGCAGAGCTGCTCTCTCGCTTCCAAACGTCGCTTTCTGACGGCACCAAAAATCTTCTCTTCTCCTCGTCTCTGCCAGACGCCGTTCTCGCACCTCCCACGGGCCTTCTGGCTGGTAGACACCTGCTCCCAGCGATCTCCTTCGCCGCAGCTTTCCACAATCTGGTCCACGGGAGGCACTCTTCGGGCTCATCCCGGGCTGGCATGAAGCCAGACACACTTATAGATATGCATACTGAACTGACAGCGGTGCCACACACCAGCCTAAGAACCCAAATCCTGAAAGGTGCAGGAAAGTCCTAAAGAGCCTGGGGGTCTTCAAAAGGAAGTGAGGCCAAAAGCGCAAATCGAGGTCGAGGCTACAGGATGACGACGGCCGCTCACATCTGCAGATGCATTAGCACTTTACAACATAACTCGGCAAATGTTAAAATCAGAAGGTACACAGAGCTGATCAGGCTCTGCTTCCAGCACAAGTGGATAGCTTCGTTGGGTGCAGATTCCACTGTGCTCTGCACCCCCCTGCTATAAAAAACGTCGAAACCAATTCAAAAGAATCCCTGTGACTACAAGGGGCATACACACACACTGAGCACCGCGCCTCTTGGGCTTGGCGGTCTCACCTGGGAGCTCAGTTTCCGCGCCGAATGAGCAGAACATTGAGCCACCCCTGCTTGCCGATCGCGACGCGGATGCGCTGCGCTTTGGTCCAAAGTACCAAGAGGATTTCGGATACAACGCGATTAGTTTATATTGAGGGTTGCCTTCGATGTGTTTTTCCCGAGAGCGTCTGCGAAGGGTTCTTCGTAAAAAACATCTGCAGAACTACACCTCCTCTACATCTTCACATCTTCACCTCTGTACAATCACGTTGTCACCTCTATCTCTGCTCATCTTCACATCTGCACATCCTCACATCTACTTCTCAGCTCATCTTCATCTTCACACATCTACATCTCTGCTCATCTTCACATCTGCACGTCTACATCTCTGCTCATCTTCACATCCTCATATCTACATCTCACATCCTCACCTCTCGCTCTTCTTAACTTTCTCTCTTAAGGCCGGGGGCAGTGCCGCCGGACCGCCGCGAAACGCAACCCTCTGCGGAGATCGTGCGTGTCGAGTGCGCGAAATGCAGGCGAGAGTGCGATTTGTCTCTGCCGCGGGCAACCCTCTGCGGAGATCGTGCGTGTCGAGTGCGCGAAATGCAGGTGAGAGCGCGATTTGTCTCTGCCGCGGGCAACCCTCTGCGGAGATCGTGCGTGTCGAGTGCGCGAAATGCAGGTGAGAGTGCGATTTGTCTCTGCCGGCGGCAACCCTCTGCGGAGATCGTGCGTGTCGAGTGCGCGAAATGCA